ATATAGATGTATATTAAGGCATTTTAAACTCTTCCCACACTCTTGCATTATTCTAAACAATGTTTCTAAACTCTAAAAGAGCACAGGATGTCATGATTTCAGCTCTTTGCCTCGGCTGCTCTGTGCCCCTTGCAAGCACTCTCGGCCACGCCCACTTCTCCACTCTGCACAGAAATCAGCTGATCAGCTGCAGGAGGAAGCTTATCCTACAGTGTGGGCTGCACAAAGGTGCAGCAGGTGTTAAATAATTTTTAATAATTTATTTTAAATTAAAATTCCATGCCGATCGTGCGGCTCATCCATCAATCAGCCAATTGTGTGTCATGACCAATCTTATTTTGAAAAACCGCAATAGAGCGAGTCGGCAAAAAACGAACCGCGAAGTAGCGAGGGACTACTGTATATATTACAACTCCCAATTATGGAAAACCATATCCACAATGGGAAATAATAAACGAATCCAATGTTGAAATGAAATCGTTTCATTTTTGGAAAGAAAAAAAGTTCATTTTGAATTTTATGGCAGCAACACATCTCAGCAGTTCTTCCAGGTCCATGTTTCCCTCTCTGAAGCATCGCCTTTTCTTTTAGCAACAGTCTTGAGGACCTGAGGAGACCAGTTTCTGAAGTTCTTCTAGGGAGTGTGGTCATTCTGGTCTGCTGGAGGGTTTTAGCTCTTCAACAGTTCTGGATCCTCATTTCTGGATTTTCTTGATGAATGGGAGCATAAGTTGTTTTTGAAACCTATAAATACTTTTCAGCATTGATAGTAGCATTCCAGATGTATAAGCAGTAGTGCCACCAGCACCTCCATACCATCAGAGAGGCTGGCTTTAGAACTGTGTGCTGATAACAGACTGGATGGTCCCTCTGCTTTTTAGTAAAAAAAAGATGTGATGTTTGTGGTTTTCAACAAGAATTTCAGATTTTGATTTGTTTGACTTTCCACATCCCTGGAGCTACTTTATACCACCCATCTGACCATATAATAGTTTTACATTTTTGCCTTAGTCCATTTTAAGTGAGCTTTGGCCCAGAGAAGACTGCTGAAATTTGTTGGAGAAGCCGAAACTAAGAGATTAAAGTTAAAACAAGCAGAACAAGAGCGGAAACAGTCAGAGCACAAGTTAAAACGTCAGCAGCTAAAATTAGTAAGTTAGGAGCTAAAAGCTAAAGTTAGAGAGGACATGGATGTAGTTGGAGTGAGGACATAGTGAGATGGAGGAGGATGACTCACTGTGGAGATCACTGAAGAGGGAAAAGCTGAAAGAAGTAGCTAAGAGTTAAAACTAGCAAAAACATAGATGAAAGCTAAAAGTAGCATAAGAAGGCAAAAATAGAGCAAGTACGCTGAAGCAGATTTCAAAGAGAACAATTGTTTTGAAAAACATGAACAGTTTTCTAAGTATTTCTATGGGAAAGTAAGTTCGATATTTAGAAAAGTTTTAAAGTTGCAAAAAAAGCAAAAGTCATCGGGCACTACTCCCAGTTCAGCCGAACTCTATGAAGTACGAACAGCTAAAATAGAGCAAAGTGTGTGGGAGCAGTTTGACGGCACAAAATATACAGAAGAAACTCAAAACAGGTCAACATTTTGGGAGGGAAAGTTTTAAATATTATTATGAAAACAGGGTAAAAATGTACTTTTAGTCTGCTGCTCCAGCTCCTTTCTTTTGGCTTATAATCTTGTGATTATACCAGCATGCAGATGAAGAAATAAACGCTGACAAATCGTTCAGATTAAATCAAATACAAACAGTCAAGTCTTCCGTTCAGGCTGGTGTCAGAGAAACATCTGAACTTGTTTTTTTGTTGTTTTGTTTTTTCCTTCAGATTTATGATAAAACGAGCTCAGGGGAGAAACCGGTTTGGAATGAAGAACTTCAAGAAGCGATGGTTCCGCCTCACCAACCACGAGTTCACCTACCACAAAACAAAAGGTGAGGTCAGCGGGTTCGCAGGAAAATCTCTCCGTCGGATCGTTTCCTCGTCTGTTCTTGTGCTTGTTTGTGTTCAGATCAGCGGGAGGGAATCTGCAGGGCGTGCGTTTCGTCTGCACGCTCATCATTCTGCGCATGCGGTGGAGGTTTAGGTTCCTGAGCAGGCGATTTGTTTTTAACAAACTGAGGCCGAGCTGTTCTGAAAGGGAATCATGGGTATTCTCTGCTGAAGTTTAATTATACACTAACCGCACTGAGGCGTGGAAGCATTCTCTCTCCTGCAAGAGATTCACAGAACCGCAGAGGAAAGATTGGAGGTTTAACTTCTGCGATCAAAGAATCACTGAAACTAAAATGAACTGGAATGGCCACTGACGGCAGCCATCTTGCTAAGTGCTTCGTCCTGTTGACATGTTGAGGCTACAGATGAACTCCCTGTGTGTGCTGTACGCTGTCAGCAGACCAAAAATAAATATAAACGTCCTTATTTTACTCACATAAACATAAATTATGACTTGACCTAACCTGTCTATTAGGCTTTTTATAAACGGATACAAAGGGATTTCCCAGCGCTACTGCAGCAGCCAGAGAAAATGGTCAATTTCAAAGAACATGAAAATAATTATTTTTGAAGACATGCCTGATAGAAAACTTCAATGTAAAGGAAGATTTCATGTCTAGTTAGCTACAAGGATTGATTGATGGTGCCTTTAAGGACTCGTTTGGACACAAAAATCAACATTTTCATGTTTTTTTACACGACAGCCTGTTCTCATTCTGACTCGTTTTGCCAGCCTGCATCACATTTATTGTTCTGAATGAACTCCAGCTGCATGATTTGTCTGGTTCATCAACATCGTAGAGATCATTTTGCACGTTTTTTGTGCGTTTCTTGTCTGAATGTGCTGCTTGTTGCTTCCAGGAGAGGGCGCTCTGTGCAGCATTCCTATAGAAAACATCTTGGCTGTGGAGCGGCTGGAGGAGGAGTCCTTCAAGATGAAAAATGTGAGGATTTCTTCTCTTTCTGCTGTCCAACGGTTTGCTCTAAGTATTTAAGTGAACCTGTTTCCCCTCCTCCAGATGTTCCAGGTCATCCAGCCAGAGCGAGCGCTCTACATCCAGGCCAACAACTGCGTGGAGGCGCGCGACTGGATCGACATCCTGACCAAAGTCAGCCAGTGCAACCGCAAACGCCTGAGCACCTACCACCCTTCAGCCTACCTCAACGGACACTGGCTCTGCTGCAAGCTGTCAGCCGACACGGCTCCAGGCTGCACGCCCTGTACCGGGTACATAAATCCCTCCACGACAAGAAACCCCCCTTTTAGTTTTCCTCCTTGTCACCGAACGCTCTTCTGTTTCCAGGGGCCTCCCAGCAAACATCCAGCTGGACGTGGACGGAGACAGAGAGACCGAGAGGATTTACTCCCTCTTCAGCACATACATGACCAAACTGATCAAGATGCAAGGTCTGTTTTTATTTTATGTTATTTTTTACATATTTGTCTGAGATTTTCTCCATATTTGTCACTCACCCTGTTTTTTGCTCCACAGAGGCGTGCGGCAGTAAGTCCGTGTATGACGGGCCTGAACAGGAGGAGTACTCCAACTTCGTCATCGACGACCCGCAGGAGACGTACAAGTCCCTGAAGCAGATCATCGCAGCTGTGCAGGCGCTGGAGCAGCAGCACACCAAGTACAAACGGGACAAGTTCAAGAAGGCCAAGATCGGCAGCCAGTGTGTGATCAATTTATCTTCAGATACAAAGCTCGTGTTTATTGTGTGCAGCTTCCTGCTTCACCAGCAGGTGGTGCTGACGTACAAATATTCATCTAACAACATCTAATTTTAATCCATCTCCTTTATTGGCTCATTATATATGCATGTCTGTTAGCAAAATATCTCACGAACCACCGGATTAACAAAACTCTCAGAAATTAATCATCAAGTGTTCGACTACAGCTGATTATAGTTTAGTGTCAACATGATTTAAGATGGCCGCCACAGTGGATCAGTCTGCAATCACAGAAATTACAAGAAAATGGACAAATTTTACAGATATTGAGCTAAAATTTGGTGTGGTAGTAGCTGAGAGTCTCCCCCCAACACATACTTTGGGTGCTCATTCCTTCGAGGAATGCAAAGCTTTTAAGTTTTACTGCAGTTCAGAAATGTGACGCGCCACGGGAAAAGCAGGAACAAGTCGCGCACGCTCAAACTGGAAAAAAAAAAAAAAAAGCTGAAAAAACCTTCAATTTCTGAGAAAATGGTGAAGGGTTGTTTTTTTTTTCAAAATATACTAGTTGAAGTTATGAAGAAACCACCCCAAGGCAAATTAATGTAAATGAACAGCCATTGTTAACACCCCCTGGTAACGCTTCAGGAATGGGGACATTCTTCTGAAACTTTGAGGCCTGTTTTCTCCCTAATTTTATTTGCAGATTGCCAACATTGAAATGGCCGTATCTTCTTCATTCATTCATTTTTTAATTTATTTTTATTGTCATGTGTTTGACATCATTGGATAACTTAGAACCCACACTTTCAGATTCTGTAAATAACTCAAAACGACCCAGGGGAGACTTGTTCCTGGTTTTGCCGTGGCCGGTCACAAACGTTACTGTTTTGTTCAGCAAGCGCCTTCTTTCTGTTTGTCTTTCAGGGAGCATCCGATCGGAGACAAGAGCTTTCAGTGCTACATCCGCCAGCAGTCGGAGAGCTCCACCTACTCCATCTAACCTCTTCACTGCCTCTGTTACGTTCACAACCAGCAGTTTTTTTTCTTCACTGCAAGAAAAAACAAACACAGCTCAGCTCTGTGTCCTGTGCTGAGTTTGAAATCTTTTTGTTCTCTTCTAATCAAGATTAAATTAAAGGTGCGTCTGAGCCGAATAACTCTTTAAAGATGCCAGTTTGGCAAAAAAAACAAAAAAGGACCATCTGATTTAACTAATTCATTTAGTTTTAAGAAAACTTGCTGCCAAACGGAGAGAGCCGGCTTGTGGAGACGGACGTTTCCTTGCACCGTCTCGGATTCATCGCTCCAAAGTTTGGAGAAGCGACCCTCAAATGGGTGGGAGATTTTTAAAAAAGGAACAGTTCTGGATTTTTTTTAAAAAGCAGATTACAGCGTACGCTCACCTGCCCAAGAAAAGAGAATAAAGTTTTCACTGGACAGTTCTGACAGTGACCAGCACGCACTTTATTTGCCTCCAGATCTGTGGATGAACAAGCCTTGCACACTTCAAAGAAAAGCTTCTTTTTTCAGTTTGACTCGTGTCTGCTTGTTTTAATTTTAGGTGAAAAGGTCCATTGTGTTTCATGTCTGACTGACCAAACTTCAGGAGGCAGAAAGGACTGTAATTTATCTCATTTGAGTGTTTTTGTCCCCATGTTTCTTTGTTTTTTTTTTTACCTCCATTAAACCTGTCAGTGTCAACAGGGCATAAGAAGGGATCAAGCGAGTCCAAAAGCTATAAAATGTCACTCCAAGTACAATTTTACAACTTTTTATTTCTTATTATCAGTGTGCTAAGCCTTATTCTGTTAGGGCTGGATGTTGAGCTTCTGTTTTATCCATATTTTGTTTATAAAAGAGAAGTGTGACGCTTTGTTTATCTGCTTACACAGAGATTTTATTTCAAATTTGACTAAATGGATCCTCAGAGTTTCTTCTGAGCAGTGCCCTCATTACTGCGGAGAAGGCCTTGATCCATCGATCCATCGCTCATGAACAAGACTTTAAGGTACTCGAACTCTTCCTCCTGAGGCAGAGGCTCACCTCCGACCCAAACGGAGAGAACAGCGGCCTCAGATTTAAGGTGGTGTCTCACTGGGCTTGGACTAATTGGTGAATGGTGTTTAAGAGAGCGTCTCCTGAAAGTCTTGCTGCTTTGGTGGGGGTTCTCAGCTTCCTTGGACGAAATGTGGATATGCATTTGATTTTTAAACGGGTTCAACAAATTTGTGTGGCAACCTTTCTCCTAAAATAGTCGTAAAGTCGTCATGGGCATTTCAAGCCATCTCGAGCGCTGGCGGTGCACGGAAGCTTTCCTTTGACATGAAACGTTTCAGACAAATGTCAGTTCAGTTTATATAACGCCGGATCACAACAGAAGTTGTCACTTAAACTATTTAAAAAAATAAATGAATCCAAATCTGACCATCTTAATTTCTCCTGCAGATAACGTCATAAACATGAGGGCCGATACCAAGGTGCAGTGTTTCCCCTACCACGATCCAAGGAGGGCGCCCCCGCCCTGTCAACAGAACCGAGCACCCCGCCTACCAATTCCCCCACCACCCATTCTGCTCCACCACTTCAGACGGGGAGCGGAGTTTAGCAGCTCAGCTCAGACCCCTCACCGTAGACAACAGCCGGCACCAACGTAGTGCTAAGTAGAGTTGCATTCGGGCCCAAAAAATCCAACCCGGCCCCATCCCGTAGCCATTATTTCCGAACCTCACCTGACCCAAAAAATTAACAGTAGTTACATGTCCGAACCCGAAAAAACCCTGACGTTTATAATTAAGCTTTAACTGTTTATATAGTTATTAACGGTTGGCGGAGGCGCGCAGCTGAGTAAAGGGCAGAAGATCGGAGCTGCTTCTGCCTGCGTTCTGCATTATTCAGACACGGACCATACTCTGACATGTCGGATATTTTGTGATCTCACCTGTTTGGGTTGTCAGCCGCGCGCGTCCGCTGAGTGCAGTGGCTGAATGAACGTCCATTTGGGCTGATGGATCTCTGGCGGTAGTCCATCTGAAGCTTAACTGAACTTTTTACCTCTTTCAAGGCCAGTCAGCGCGGTCAAATGGTCACGTGCGGTTGGTGATTGTATGGCAAGCCATGTTACCATATAATTGGATTGTCAGCCGCTAACGTCCACTGACGCAATCAAAAGCCCGACCCAGCCCGCACATTATTATGGCCCAGACCTAATCCAGGTTGGGCGGGGCCGGGTTCGGGTTAGAAATGACAGCTCTAGTTCTAAGTTAGCACGCAATACAGATGTAGCGCTTCACTTCTCTTCACCCCCCACCCCCTGTTTCCTAGGGAAACACTGAAGGTGGGTATAAAACGAGTTGAAGCGGGCAACAAAAGAATGTGCACGGCCAAGAATACAGCTGTGCAAGCCGTGCGGATGAAAGTAAGCTGTGACTTTTCAAAAACTCGCAGCTCGAAACGCGGCCGCGTGGCTCGCTAGTCACTTGGTTGCAAAGAGTTCAGCGAGACTCCGACAGAAGCTTTATGTATTTTCTTACAATTCTGAGTCGCCAACTTTCCTCCCAACAGTGAGATCCCACCTTCAGAGGAGCTGACTCATCCCAGCAGCTCTATCGTCACAGCTGTAAGAGACCACATCATCTGCAAACACAGAGACCCTGAGGTCAAACTAGAAACCCCCCCTCTTCACAACTGGGAACGAGCTTGACTTAAAGCAGAGGACGTGAACCCAGCTCTTGTTTTGTGTGAATTTGCTTTTAAATCAGGACATAGCCACTTCGAGGAGGTTGACCCTAAAAAATTTGAAACAAAAAGCTCATTCCTTGATGTCCCTCTCTGCTGTGCTTACGCTCTGTTTCCATATCAAATCAACTGTAAATGTACCGACTGAAAGAAATTCCCATAAAAACAGGGCAAATAATTATTTCTTTTTCCACCTCAGACTGAGTGTTTTATGTACTTTTACCCGCGTGGGAAGTAGTGATTTGAGTAAATACTTCAGTTTTAAGACGTTTTAATACTTCCCTCTGATTTCCACCACGTGCAGCTTAGACTCAAAGGTTTGTTTCACTCTGTGTAAGCAGCTAAAGCCACGCTACTCCTCCAGCTTTCACAGAGCAAAAATAATGTGTCCAAGCAGCTCATTACAAAGGATTTCTCCATGAAATAACTCCATTTACTAACATTTTTACGGTAAACTGAATCATGTGTGACTGCCTTTATATTCTGTGAATTGTACTTGTTTTGAAGAAGAAGATGCCCCCTTCCTCTCTTTGTGTTATTAAACTTATTTATATGCGTTCTTCTGAGAAGCTGCCTGCTGTGAACATAACCGGACCGCGGCTCAGAATCTTATAGGTACAAGATTTATTGTTGTGAATCAGTTTAATTGTTGCTTTGCTAAAAAAAAAAAATCACAACGTTGTCACACTTTTTTTATTTTGCCAAACCAGTGCATGTAAAAAAATATGGCTGTAATCATGGAAACTGCGAAAAATTAAAAGACAATTTTGTATTTTCTAAAAATTTATGTAGCCTCGTGGGGGTTTTCCATGAATACAGGATCCCGAGCAGTGCCGGTTTAAAAAAAAAAAAGAAAGAATAGTTGGTTAGACGTGTTTGTTTCTTGCTCACTTTGCTGTTTTAAAAACCAGACATTCACATTTCTTTGTTTGTTGAAGGTTTTCAGCAGCTTGACTTTGTTTTCTTCACAAAACTTGAGTTTTGTGCTCGTGTTTGTCGGTGTGAGTGACTGAAGTGAGAGATTTTATTGCAGTTTATTTGATATATTATAAGTCATTTGTTGTATTTTTTGTTTTAGTTCGTACAGTTGAAAGCAGATGTTTACATACACTGTATGCACCATATTTTCCTCTAACTTTGTCAGACTAAATGTTCCTGTTTTACGTCTATTAGGATTTACTAAAAATTTCTTACCACGTTCTTCAAATTAACAGGTTTACACTTGTTAGCATAATATTTGGTAGCATTGCTTTTAAACTGCATGATCTAATGTTTTGGGGTTCTTTCCTCAAGCTTCTTACAAATATCTGCTGGGATTTGGTCCCAGTTCTCCTGACAGAGCTGGTGGAAATGATTCGGGTTTGTTGGCTGCCTTTTCAAGGTTTCAATGGGACTGAGATCAGTTCTTTGTGCTGGTCCTTCCAGAACATGCACTTTGTTGTCCTTAAGCCTTTTGGTAACTAATCTGGCGGTAGGTATGCTTAGCGTCATTGTCTTCTGGGTCTTCAACTGGAAGCTTTAAGCTGATGTCTAAGATGTTCCTTTTGTATCATTCCTCATATAAGTGCACTGGTCCCTTCTGCATCTAAACACCCCCACAGCATGATGCTGCCACCCCCGTACTTCACAGTTGAGATTGTGTTTTCAGGATTGCAAGCTATCCCCTTTTTCCTCCAATTGTAACGATGGTCATCATCGCCAAACAGTTCCGTTAAGATCTTCGTCCCTGTGTGCATTTACAAACATTGGTCTGGATTCTACCTGTCTACTAGTCCACTACGAGTTAACTAGTTTCTCTCTGAGTGGACTTTCAGTCCGTGTTGGCACTGGACTTGGTTGCATCGATTAGGACGTCTACCGTTGGAGGTTTTCCAAGCAAGTTCCACTAGGAAGAGAGATTGGGGCAGACCCAGAACTCGCTGAAGGGATTATAACCCACTCTGGACTGGGAATGGCTTGGGAGTCCTGGATGGAACATGTTGGCGGAGAGAGGGGGGGTCTGGGTTTCTCCCAAAGCCATGACATCATCAACTGGACTGTCCCAAACTAGCGTATAAAACCTTGTAGCGTTGAAGAAAGTTATTTAAATATCCTCGTTATTTGTAGCTAACAGGAATAGTTTAGTGAAGCCAAACTGACGTCAAACAGGGAAGGTTTCATCTGGTTTCGTGTCAGATGGTGATATTTTTATTTAGTTTTTTCATACAGTGTATGTAAACATCTGGTTTTAACAGCAGAAAACATCTGCTCTTTCCAAAAAAGCCAATTTTACCTCCAAATATTTGATGAAAACATGAAACAGTCGGCATCACTTTTACCTTGAGTCTTTGTTCCCACCAGTTGCTAACTGTCCTCGGGTGTATGAAGCTCATATCTATTATAATTTTCCAGTACAACCTTCCCAGAAAGTCAGTTTCAGTAAAAACTCCTTCATGCCCAACAGTTATGCAATAAAGATGATATGCAATAAAATCAAAAGTTTTAACAGTTCTCATCTGCAGACCGGTGTGCAGGAAGATGCCTCTTCAGATATTATAAAGGGAGAACAGTGTATTTTGTACAAATATTTTAAAAAGTATTAAAATAAGTGAGATGTGTTTGTACAGGCTGAATGGATGAGTCAAAGAATTGATGTGTACTTTTTCCCTGAGTAACTAAATGAATCCAACCTTAAAGCAAACTGCATCTGTGTGTTGTTTTAAGTTACACGTCAGCTTTTTTCTATTTCAAGACATTTTTATCAACAAATGCACATAAATTATTTTTTAAATGAGGAAGGTTTGGGTCAGGCTTGACTATTTAAAAAAAAAAAAGTCAGACTTTAAAGGTTCTGAGCTCTCAAAATGGCTTTGTTTTCATTTTTAAATTGGCTTAATTGTTTACAAGGTGAAAGAAGATTAAACAACATTTTACAGCTTAAAGATAAATGTACAGGTTTGTTTGTTTCTATATTTACTACATTATTTTTCTTCCTACAGACTCAAACAAGATTTAGGGTGCCCCCCTCCATGTATGACAAACTTTATCACATAAATGTTTTTAGTGCAAAAAGTAAAATAAAACCCCTAGTAGTTTATATTACGGAAGCCCATTTAAGCCACTAAAAAAAGTCAAATAGTGTTTCAAACATACGTTTCAAAGTTGTGACTGAAACGCACATTAATGAGCATGTTTTATACTTATGTTGTATTTATTTTTAGTTTTGTTAAAAAAAATAATAATTTAGTTTATTTTAGTGGGTGCGTGGATGGTCCATAAGGGCGGAGCCCCACCAAGAAGAAATAATTGTTTGCTCTACAAATTAGTTCCTCCCAATAAATGATGTTGATTACTTAATTAGTTATTTTGTGTGTTGGTTTTGTCTTGTTTGTTTTTTGTTTTTTTGTTTTTTTAAACTACTGTATCTGGACATTTTGAAATGAAGTTTTAATTATTATTTGTCCATTTTGATCTTAACTGAAGGAATGGGCTGCAGCAATACCTGCTGTGTGCAACGGTGGAGAGTATATTTGAGGGTGAGAAAATGCCTGAAGAATGGAGAAATGAATGAGAATGGAGAGTTTTTTTTTCAAATGTAATTCCATTTTTTATTTATTTTTTTCAAATGTTCTTCATTTACACCTCAGGGCCACCGCAGAGAAGTGTGCTGGTGCCCATTTTTAAGAACAATGGTGATGTACAGAGTTGTAGCAAGTACAGGGGAATTAAGTTGATGAGCCACATGTTGAAGACCTGGGAGAGAGTTGTGGAATCAAGACTTGGACAAGAGGTGACTATCTGTGAGCAGCAGTATGGTTTAATGCCAAGTAAGGGCACCACAGATGCCACCTTTGCTTTGAGAATGCTGATGGAGAAGTACAGAGAGGGTCAGAAAGAACTCCATTGTGTATTTGTGGATTTAGAAAAAGCATCTGACAGGGTGCCGAGGGAGGAGGTGTGGTATTGCATGAGGAGATATGGAGTGGCAGAGAAGTATGTTAGACTGGTACAGGACATGTATGAGGACAGCAGGACAGCTGTGAGATGTACTGTAGAGGTGACAGATAGCTTCAAGTTGGAGGTGGGAGTGCATCAAGGATCGGCTCTAAGCCCCTTCTTGTTTGCTCTGGTGATGGACCGACTAACAGATGAGGTCCTCGTGGACTATGATGTTTGCAGATGACATTGTGATCTGTGGTGAGAACAGGGAACAGATGGAAGAGAACTTGGAGAAGTGGAGGTATGGACTTGAAAGAAGAGGAATGAAAGTCAGCCGTAGTAAGACAGAGTATGTGTGTAAATGAGAGGGAGGCCGTTGGAACAGTGAGGCTACAAGGAGCAGAGGTCACAAAGGTGCAGGACTTCAAGTACTTCAGATCCACTGTCCAGGAAAATGGGGAGGGTGGGAAAGAGGTGAAGAAGAGAGTCCAGGCAGGATGGAGTGGATGGAGAAAAGATTCAGGAGTGATTTGTGATCAAAGGGTGTCAGCAAAGGTCAAAGGAAAAGTTTACAAGTGATGAGACCAGCTATGTTGTATGGTCTGGAGACAAAGATGTTGACAAAAAGACAGGAGAAAGAACTGGAAGTGGCAGAAATGAAGATGTTGAGGTTCTCCTTAGGAGTGAAAAGGATGGATAAGATTAGGAATGAGATCATCAGAGGTACAGCACAGGTTGAACAACTGGGAGATAAAGTCAGAGAGACCAGACTGGGATGGTTTGGACATGTCTAGAGGAGGGACAGTGGGTAGATTGGTAGAAGGATGTTAAAAATGCAGCTCCCTGGAAAAAGACAAAGAGGAAGTCCATAGAGAATATAATATGTATGAATGCAGTTGGAGAGGACATGGAGATAGTTGGAGTGAGGACAGAGGATGCAGAGGACAGAGTGGGATGGAGGAGGATGACTCGCCGTGGCAACCCCGAAGAGGGAAAAGCCAAAAGAAGAAGAAGATGTGTAGTATCATAGTAGAATTATTGCTATTAATCAAATAAGATATCCAAATCCAGAAAACCATTAACCTTTTTACTTTACACAGTTGATGTTAAAACAAATTCCAGTTTTGAGTGGGGTAGGTATCTGATTTTATTATTAGACTGAATTGTTTTCATGAGACACAACCGCGAGAAAAAAGGCAGCAACTTTGTGCACAAAAAAAATCAACACAAACACCAACATATATCCAGTTTTTCAAGTTGGTTGTTTTTGTTTGTTTATTTTCAGTTAAGACAAACTATTTGATCATTCTTTTTTCTTTTTTGTGGCAGAAATGGGCTTCCATAGTCATGAGTGAGTTTGTGGAAACCCTTTGTGCTCTGGGCCTCCTGGCCTATATTGTGTGTTTAAAACCAATTTTCTGCCTGAGTTCAGCCACTTTGAGTAAACACAAGGCAGAAAGTGTGTCAGCAGCGCTCTCTGGCTGCTCTCCCCCTCCTCCTGTTTTACATCAACACTTTTGGGAAGAATAAAGTTCTCCCCCTCTCCTCTTGCACAAATCTGCTCTCAGCCATTCTTCACCCAGAGCCAAAGTTTGTCCCAGGAAGAAGGACCATGTGGGGACAGAATCGGGCTGTTGGGACACCTTTGACTTGTTTCTTGCTCCTGGTGACTCTGGTCGACGCTCACCCATGTAAGTAAAACTGGTTTTACTTTAGTGAACTTGGGAGGTTTTGTCTCCACTCTGATCCAGTTTAAAATCCAGTCCAGCTGGAGGTGTTTGGACTCTGGATGGTCCCAGAGAAACTGAAGGCTGTTTGCTACGGTCAGGGCTGGTTTCTGGGAAATAACTGTGTCGCAACGAGCCTCAGTTTTACATCTGGCTCAGGCATAAACCATTCCTGCAGGGAACAGTCATATTTGATCCTTTCAAACAAAAAACAACTTATAAAGTAAAATGTTAACCACCCCAACTTTATTTATACTTTCTTCCAAGGAACATACTGTCTTACAGTCTTTTAAAGTGGTTCTAATCCCCCCCCCCCCCCAATAAAAAATAAAAATAAAATAAATCCTCTATTTTATTTCAATTTGACAGCATTTCAACTCATTTTCAGTCCAATTATTCACCATATTGTGCCTTTTGTGCTTAAAGTGTCAGGCCTAAATATGTATTTATGGCAGATAATAATCCTTTAGTTGATAATTTCATTGGTTCCCAAAGTTGGGGTCAGGACCCCTCTGTGCTCAACAGATGTAAGGAAATCAAATGATCTCTAAACATGCATATTGGGTTTTAACTGTTACAACAAGATGAAAACAGTACTGTAGTCATAAATGGCTGAAAATGTATACAATGGTAGATGAACAATTTTTAAATTCTTTTTTTAAAAATACTTAAAATAGTTTCTGCTACTTTCATTTTGTTGGTCAATGACAAAAAAGGTGAGATGCCCTCTTCAACTTCAAGTCTCTGGGCGTTTTGTTCATGTGGTAGGATGGAGCGGGCAATGGAGTGATGAATCAAGTCTTCGTCCTCAGTAATGAGAGTGTTGCTTTGGTCAGTTATGGTGAAGAAAATGTTGAGTCGAAAGGCAAAGTTCTCAATTTATTGGTTTGTCTACATTCCAACCCTCACCTGAGGCTTGGATCATGATCGAAAAAACGAGATCCTGGATACAAGCGGCTGAAATGAGTAGGGTGGCCGAGCTAAGCTTTAGAGATAGGGTGAGGAGCTCTGTCATCCTGGGGGATTTAGAAGTAGAGCTGTTGTTCCTCTGCATCGAAAGGAGTCAGTTGAGGTGACATCTGATTAGAATGTCTTGGAGGTTTTCCGAGAGAACCTGGGGCAGACCCAGAACTCACTGAAGGGATTATAACCCATTCTGGACTGAGAACACCTTGAAGTCCTGGATGGAAAATGTTGCTGGAAAGACGGAGGTCTGGGTTTCTATCCTGGACCCGCTGCCGACCACAGATAAGAGGTGGAAGATGGAGATGTGGTTAACTTCACCTATAAAAAACCTCCCAAAGCCATGACATCGTCAACTGGGCTGTCCAAAACTAGTGCATAAAATCTTGTAACGTTGAAGAAAGTCATTAAAAAATGATCTAGTTATTTTTAGCTAACAGAGATAGTTTGGTGACGCCAAACTGACATCAAACAGTTCAATGTTCTGATCAGGATGGCTCCTGGACGCCTCCTTTTGGAGGTTTTCTTGGTTTGTCCCATTGGGATAGAGGTCCTGGGGCAGACCCAGAACTCACTGGAAGGATTATATATCGTCTCTGGCCAGGGATTATTTTGGGAAACACCACCCCCACCCCCCCACAAGAAGGTGCTGGGAACAGGGAGGACAGCGTTTCTATCCTGGACATGTTCCTCCATGGCCCAACAATGGATAAGTGGTAAAAGATGGAAAAACAGAAAAGTTTGGAAACACTGATCAAGGCTGCTGTTGATCAATTTTCTTCCTGTAGCTGTTTGAGAATCGCCTTGCTAATGCTAAAATGATACAGAATTATCAAACTGTGAGGATTTTTTTTTTTTTTTGCTAAATAAATGAGAACTAATTGTGTCTTTGTGACAGGACGTTGAGAACAAAGAACCTAAAGATCCGATTTAAATCTGTTTTTGTGTTGCAGCCCAGTGAGATACTACCTGGAATTGTCTGATAGGTGTTGACAAGGTTCATCTGTTGAGTTTAGGAGCCTTTTTATGTCTGAATGATTTATCTTCATACAACAAACACGCTGTACAAACAGCATTGATGGGAGGAAAAAAGTCAGATTCACTCTGCAGGATTTAATGAGTCTTTCTGTCCCAGTCCTGAACCAGAGCACAGCCTCCCAGTTCCTGATCCGGCACAGACGAGCCAACTCCCTGTTCGAGGAGAGCAAGAAGGGCAACCTGGAGAGGGAGTGCATCGAGGAGCTGTGCAACAAAGAGGAGGCGAGAGAGATCTTCGAGAACGAGCCAGAGACGGTGAGAACCTGAAGCGCTGCAGCACATCTCCGGGTGTTGGGATGGTCAGGAGGAAACATTTAGCTTGGAAGGATCAAATAAACCGTTATAAAAATGTTTTTATTGTGTGTCTCCTGAGTCCGCATTCACACCTTTTATGACCCAACTGACTTCTTTGGCTGTTTTAACCATTCATAGATCAAAATGTGCAGCTCTTTCAGGACTTTACAGCTGTGACTTTGGGGTTTTGTAGCTTTAAGACATGTTAAACAATTAAACTTCACAAAAATGAAAAGGGAACACTTCAAATGTTTTAAAACTTTGTGATATTGAAAATCTACTTCAGCATACTCACTTCACTTTTAGCTTTTGCTGCTGTTCTGAAAATGTAAGCTTTTAGCTACTGTCCTTTTAATTACTGCTTTAAGCTATGTTTTGCTTATTGTAGCTTTTAGCTGCTGTTTACTTTTATGTTTCAGCTACTGTTCTGCAAGTTTTAGCTTTCAGGTATTGTTTTGCTAAATTCAGTTTTTAGCTATTCTTTTAATCATTTTAGCCTTTTAGCAGCTATTTTACTTATGTGGGTTTTAGCTGTTGTTATAATGGAAGCTTTCATCAAGTTCTCTGCTAGTTTTTGCTACTTTATAACTAACTGTAGCATTTCATTTTGATAACTTTGGCGTTTAATTACTGTTTTGCTAGTTTGTCTTTACCTACTGTTTTGCCAGTTTTCGCTCTTTAGCTACAGTTTTGCCTATTTTAACAATGTTTTGACGAGTTCAGCTGCTATTTAACTAATTTGTTTTGGCTGTTTTTTGTTGGTCTTACTTTTCATCTAATGTTTTATTAGTTGTAGTCTTTTAAAACTGTTCTGCTAATTTTAACAACATTTTTGTTTCAGCTATCACCTACTCATCTGCTAGTTTTGGTTTTAGATCATATTTTGCCTATTTTAACATTTAGCTATCGTTTTGCAAGTTTTAGTTTCTTATTTTACTAATATATGTTTTAACTTCTGATTAGCCTCTTTCAGCATTTAGCTGTTGTTTTGCTAATGATTTAAACTACTACTACTATTAAAAATATAGATTTTAGGTGCTGGCTTGATGGTTTTATTTGATCCTTTCTGTTCTGCTAGTTTTAACTACAGTTTAGCTAAGTTTAACATTTAGCTACTGTTCTGCTATGTTTAGACGTAACCTACGGCTTTGCTAATTTTATCTCTTAGCTACTGTTTTAGCTTGCAGCTACTGTTATGCTAGTTTTAGCTTTTAGCTGCAGTTTTTCTAATTTGAGCATTCAGCTATTGTTTTGATAACTTAACCGTTTAGCAGCCGTTCTGCTACTGTTAGTCTTTACCTACTGTGTTGCAAGTTTTAGCTCGTAGCTACTGTTTTTACTGGTTCTAGAATTTGTTTTCCCATTTGTAGCGTTTTTGGCAAATGTTAGTTTTTGTTTTGATAGTTTTAACGTTTCTGTTTCGGCTCTTACGACACATTTCAGCTCTTAGCGTTCACACTGATTCTCCAGTGAATACTTGTGGTTCCTACAGTTTTAAACTCCCATCACGCTTTAGAAATCAATTATTTTTATGGCGCTTATAAAAGTCTCATTGTGCCTCCATTGTTAAATGTAGAATTGTTCACACTTTGTTGTGTTTTCTCCAGGAGTATTTCTACCCTAAATATGTCGGTGAGTTTCCAAACATTTTATTTTCTTACTACACATTTATCTAATCGGTACTCTTTGACTCAAATGTGACTCTTGGTTCCAGTGTGTTTGGGTTCGCACCGTGTTGGCATCAACAACCAGAACTCAGACTCAAACATCCCATTGGACCTTCGGACCTGCGTAAAAGGTGAGGGGCTTCATCTGAGGTTTAAACGATCGGTTCAAACTGTGAAGTGTTTTCAGCATCAACATGTGTCTGACACCAGAGATCAGTAACCAGTGCACACCGTTCCCGTGCAGTAAGGACGGTTCGGAGCGCTGCGTAGACGGCCAGGCCTCCTTCACGTGTGTCTGTAAGCCTGGCTGGAAGGGACGGCGCTGCGAGGACGGTGAGGTTAACTTTTTAGCATAACGTTAATCAATAATTGATATAAATTCATATTTAGCTGTGGGGTGTGTGTTCATTTGGCAGACATCGACGAATGTTCGGATCCCGAATTTCCGGCAGGATGCAACCAAAAGTGTCACAACTTCCCTGGTAGTTTTCGCTGCATGTGTGAAGATGGCTACTTCCTCAATGACAACATCAACTGTGTTGGTAAGAAGTCACCCAGTAGTACAGAAAAGCCGACAGTTGGGTGTTGGTTTCATTTTGTGAGTGTTTTAACGACCTATTCTTGATATTTACTCCCTTAAGGTTGGAGAAAACAGATCCCCTTCAGTGTGTGTTCAGCTGTTCGCATCAAAACACAGACTCTGTTCCCTGTTGACCTCAGGGAGCACATCATTTATTTCCCCACCTGACCCTGTGTTACCCTTCTTATGCAAGAGCATGTTGACAGTTTCAAGCATGTTAAAGGATGGACCATCTTTTCTTTCTTTTTCAGTAAAACACTCCCACAGTCTCACATCTCTGAGCTGTTCGATGCTGCTGACAGTTCTTTTGTGTTTTATTTCTGCAGATTTCTAAGTGGACTCACTCACTGTTTATCTTTAAGGACAAAGTCTTCACAAACATGGACTCAGTCAGTTTGACAGACTGCCTTTTTTGTTTTGATTGGCTGTGGTGATCAACCTAACGGGAACATTTGCACGTAGACTTTCCTCAGTTGTACACTTTGATGCTCAAAGTATGACAACCAAAATTAAGCCAGAGGTGTAAACAATCTGTTATTCTGGAAACAACAACAAAAAAAAGAAGTAGCATGAGCTCGATGTTGTCCATTGTTTTGTCGCAAATAATATGACATCACAACACAGTTTTGATATGATGATCCCTGCCTACGTCGAGGCAGCACTCTGCTCAAATCAAACACAGCCATGACCAGGGTAGAATAAGGGCAAGCCAACTGCAGCCAGACCGGGCCTTAAAATGCAAAAATGCCATTAGCTAAACAGTTTCAGAGCAGATGATAAAGCCATAATTAGCTAAACAGAAACTAAAGTTAGTAAAACTGCAAGCAGCAGAACAAAAGCTGAAACCTAAAAGAAGCAGGATTAGCTAAATTAAAAAAATATATATATATAATCTACTTTTTAATCTACTCTTTGCATGCTGGGCACTTGCTGACATGTACTGATCCATGAGGGATGCATGTCAGGTATTTGCCTGATACTTGCCACCGGGTATTTGCCGGGTACATACATGGTAGCATGTAGAAGATATCATGTACACTTACAGGGACCAGGCTTGATAATGAAATTTGGCATGGCCGCAGCTTCACAGGCTCCTGGTGAAATCCCAGTTTATGTTAGCTTGGGGGTTGGCACCGAGCTCGACTCCGCTCGCATTAAGTGTGTGAACTATAGCCGAACCGAACTTATGAGAATCGTGCTGCTGTTGTTCGGTGTACTGTTTTGCGCTATTAGCGACTAGCGTTTATCTTTTAGCGTACCGTTGGACGTTCATTTAGCGTATATCTTAGGATATAGTATAGTATAGTATAGTATATCTAAGGATCTTAGATCCTTATTTACTTTTTTTATACTTTTTATTTTTGCTATTGCTTGATGTAACTGGGACCCTGTGAACACAATTTTGTTCCACCTCATGTATCACATGTGATGCGAATGACAATAAAGAACCTTGACTTGACCTTGACTTGACTTTTTACTCTGTACTTACCTGATACTTACCCAGTATGTACCTGTATGTACCTTCATAATGCTTTGCTACTAAAATCTATTGCAATCTCCTTTAGCTTTGGAAGTACTGAGGGACAAATTACTGTATGTGCTGAGCAGCAGGCTACCAGTTCTGTCTTTCTTCTATCTACCAACTCATAATATTAGTTCTGGTGACGCTGGCAGAGCGATTGTTGCAGTATGAACACTTGATGGCTCGGTACACGCCCCTGTGGTGAACCTGTGCTTACTGTGGTAATTTTGGTTGTTTAATGAAACTGATTGTTTTAAAAGAGGTGATGTTTTATTTTAATTATGTGTTCCAGATATCAATGAATGCTTGTTGTACCCTAGTCTCTGTGAAGAACCAGCTAAATGTGTCAACATACCAGGGATGTATGAGTGCAGGTGCCCTCAGGGATTTAAATACAACTTCACCTCCAAGTCCTGTGATGGTGAGTGACCCTTTTTTAGGCTCAGAATTAAACTTCACGTGTGTTTGAGGGATCAATTATGATTGTACTGCACTTTGCTGTGTCTTATAGAAACAAATATAACCTGATAGGGACTAAAGCTGGGTATATAAATGGATATGGCACTACATCTACTGGAAATCACACATTTTAAAACACAAAGATGACTTATTTTGTTTATTTTTATTAATCTTTGTTCAACCAGGTAAATCCCATTGAGATAATTGATCTTTTTTGCAAGGGAGGCCTGAAGGCAGTCTAACATGCTAGTTTTTGTGCTGTGAGCGAGAAAACTGGAGTACTGGGAGATAACCCAAACAAATGCAAGAACATGCAAACTCCACCAGAAAGGCCTCAGGTCTAAAGTGGGGATTGAACCCAGGACCTTCTTGCTTTGAGGCTACAGTGGTAACCACTAAGCCATTGTGTTGCCTAAAGATATGTCAAGTGTTTTACATTAGCTCCGCTACCTGGTTTCAAACACACAGACAAGTGATTATAAGATGCAAGTCTAACCATTAAGCCACCACTGGTCTACTTGTTGTAAATCCTTGATTTCTCATTGGTTGTTGCAGATGTGGATGAGTGTGGGACACATGTGTGTGAAGGAACTTGTCATAACACAGTGGGTACTTTTACGTGCCACTGTGATGGTCGTGAGGGTGTTCGTCTGGCAGCAGATGGTCAAAACTGTGAAAGTATCCCCGTTTGCGTGAAGCTGGATGACTACAAACACCCGGAGATGCTTTATCTAGGGGAGCAGTTTGCAGGACTTCCTGTCATCTACCTGCTCTTCCGCCTGCCGGAGAATACAAAGTAGGTGTTTATGGATTTAAATTTGCCCAAAGTTGTTAAATTGCTTTTTTCTTTGTGCAGCAAAAGAAAATTGCTGCAGTTGGAAGAGTGCATAAAGCCATATCTTGGTCTCGCGATAGGTTTTCAGCTGAATTTGACTTCCGGACATTCGACCCAGAGGGGGTTGTTTTGTATGCAGAGTCTTCCCAGAACTCATGGTTTATGTTGGGGCTGAGAGCTGGTTGCATTGAAGTCCAGTTCAAAAATCAGCACACGTTCCAGGTTACGAACGGAAGAAAACCCATCAATGATGGGCAATGGCACGTGGTAAGAAAGTGCTACATGACAATGCTTTACTGTACATTGAATGATCTGTTTGTTGCCTTTTGGCCAAAGATTAAGCTGCTGAGTTGTTTAATTGATGGCCTGAACTGATGCATTGTGCCCCGAAGGTTCATTGCAGGAACAACACGTTAAAATATATTGTTGATGTGTAACGGGCAGATCTCTGTGGATGAGCTGGAAAGCAGCATCAGTGTGAAGATCAGTAAAGAGGCGGTGATGAGCATCAACAGCCCTGAGAGTCTCTTCACTTCGGTTAACGGCAAATTGGAGACTAAAGTCTACATCGCCGGTCTTCCGAACCGCACTGACAACATCATCAAGCCTGTACGCTGTTCAAATCATCCACAAGTGTATGTAATGTTCACATTAGTTGTCTGAAAGTGTGAAATACACCATTGTTAGATCAATCCTCGACTTGACGGCTGCATTCGGGGCTGGAACCTGATGAACCAAGGGGCGTCAGGGGTGAAGGAGGTCATCCAGGAGAAGAAGAGCAAACACTGCTTCGTGCATGTGGAGCGAGGATCGTTCTTCTCCGGGGCCGGACTGGCACACTTCCACGTAGACTACAGTGAGTAAGTTAAATCATGTTTTATTAATCACTCTCTGTGAGGAAATTTGGTTTGTGTTGGGGGCACGATGAAGCAGGACCAGCGGTAGATCTGAACAATAGTTTCGTATTTGTGTTCTTCTGCGTGTACGTAGGTGATTCTGGGAGCTGGTTTGTGGATGTAATGATGAACATCCGTCCCTCCAGCAGCTCAGGTGTCCTCTTTGCTCTTGTCTACAACAACAGCGTCCCCCTGTCGGTTGCCGTGGTAACACAGGGGGAAGAAGATGCGGTGAGGCCACTAAAGCTTTTGTCTGAAATTACCCCCTAACCCGCTTGTTGAAACCTTGTGATGCTAACTGAGACCTCCTTCTAGAACCTGCAAGTATTTTTGGATGGTGTCACCGTGGCGACGCTGGACTCACTGATGCTCTGTTACCCTGACCGGCTCACTGTGCACTTGAACGTGACACCGACAGGAATTCAGATCTCAGCTAACTCCTCCACCGTGTCCTACATGAAGTCGGATGACCTGCAGGAGGCACTGGAGCACCTCAATGCCACCATGCAGAAACCAGTCAGCACTTACATCGGTGGGATACCAGGTTAGTTGACCTCCTGTGTTTTAGTATCAAGTCTCAGCATAAATTTTATTGGACAAATATATTTATTTAGGCTAGAAAAGACGAAGTAAACCTGATTGTTTAGGGAATTTTAGCACTTTTTTTTAACATGTTTTTGTACATATTTTTACTTTAGTATTTTCCTAACAGACGCTGACCACTCTGTTTCAGATGCCGTCCCGTTACCTGCCACCCCCGTGTCGGCCTTCTACCACGGCTGCATGGACGTCACCATCAACGGCCAGCAGCTGGACTTTGACGAAGCTCTCAGCAAACACAACAGCATAAAGTCTCATTCCTGTCCTCCTGTCTTAACACGCGAGACTCACCCTGATGGACTGAACCAACACAGGAAGTGACTCAAATTAAAATGAAACCAGCCCTTAAATTAGGCAGCATCCCACTTATGTTACCTGTTGGCGTATCTTTGGTAGACGGTGTGCTTTTCCTCTGTACAGTGTTACTTTCATTGCCTTTAGAGTATTTTTGTTCAGGTTGTTTTTTTGTCTCTACAGAAAGTGGATGATGTAATTTTAGCAGTTGGTTACAGTAAATGACTTTCCAGGAAACTTTGATAAGGAGCTGAGCTCTGTAGCATCAAACGGTGTTAACGGCACATGACAGCATGATAGATAACTTGTGTTCTAGTCTTTCTTGCTAAATTTCAATACTGATTATAAATTCTTCATATTCTAATACAGCTATGCTTTATGTGTGTTTTCTGCATGTTTAGCCATGTGACAAACTCTTCTGTATTCAAACTGATTGTATTTAAAACCAACTTTATTTTGTAACTTAAATGTGGTTACATCTAGGTTTTTTTTGTCAATGTTTGTTTTAATGAACTGTGTCAGAACAACTTATGAGTTTTATTTTTATGACTGTATTTTCTCCCTTTACCTCAGCCACACAAAATAATTTCCTGTTCTATTAAGGTGTGAGATAAGGTGCTGATAATGACAATTCTGCTTAGTCCAATATGGCTAAAGCTGAGCAGAATTACAAGAAAAACACCTTGTTATGACACTTCCTGTGATCATTTTTCCATATTTGTGTCAAAATTTTAAACTTGCTTGCAAAAACTGGGCCAATCACACTAACATTTTTTTTTCTGAAAATGACATAATTATAAAAATGTGAATGTGAAGGAGGAGCAGGTCAAACAATAAGATAATTGTGAACCATGGCAGAACAATGAGAAAATGAAAGAGAGTGTGTGTTTCTGAGTAAATGAAACAGAATAAAAATTACATGGAAAAGGGAAAATAAATGGCCGTGGGAGGTTTTTAGGTTGTGTCATTGTCATGAAGCCAAGAACTTTTCTTCAGTAATAATCACAAACACCAAGCATTTTTATCTTTTTTATCATTTTTATCAGGTCTCTCTTGTAAATGAGTCCTCGAGGCTCAATGGGATTTACCTGTATAAATAAAGGTTGATTGATTTTTAAACACAAATGTTGGAAGAAATGTTATAAATTGTAAATATAGAATATTATTACAGATGTAGAGTTCTAGAATCGCGGCACTCGAGGTGGCTGTATGTTGGAGTAGCTCTGTTACATTCATTCTGATTTATTGCTTTTGAAAACTTTAATTCCTCTTTTTTCTGGATGTAAATCGCTTTTTTACGATTATTATTTCCTCTAATATCGGATGCTGTGCAGCTGGAAGGATTTTTACTGAAACTTTTTGCTTTTGGACATTTGTTATTTGCGTAACCATGGCAACAATGTTTTTTTTGTTTGTTTTTTTTAACAACCAGGAGCAGCGGATTAACATCTCAAAAGCTCAAATATCTCAACTACAGCCCCAAATCCCAAATGAGTTGAAAAGGAGGCGCCGTGGATGAATTCCCATCAACCTGGCGGTGGTGCTCCAGTACCTGATCACCGAGATCCTGGAGCTGGTGAGAAACTCGGCTCATGAGGAGCTCTGCAGACTGCTAGGAGGAGTGACCATCACTCAGGGAGGAATTCTGCCTGGCATTCGGGCAATCCCATTGAGCCTCGAGGACTCATTTACAAGAGAGACCTGATTTCAACAAAGAAAGATAACAACAAAGGACAACAGCAACAACAATAAACAATTATAAAAAGTCATAATACAGTTTTTTTTTGTTTTTTTTTACAAATAGGATGGCTAAAAGGAAAAAGGAAAAGGTAACAAAAAAACAAAAAACAGCTAGATTCTAAGGCGAATGTAGAAAACTAAAAACAGGAACATGTCTGCATCGGTCCCTGCCAGGAGTCCAACAGATTCTTAAAGCCACTTAGAGAGGTCAAGGTCGAGAGCTTCAAATCTTTTTGTAAGATATTCCAGGAAACAGGAGCGGAGTAGGAGAAGGCCCTTTTGCCTAGTTCAGTCCTCATTGAGGGAACACTGCAGGTAATAATGTCCTGAGAGCGCACGCTGTAGCTGCACTCACGCAGAGACATGTAGGAGGAGACGTATGAAGGCAGCAGACCAAGAAGTGATTTAAAGATGAAAATGTACCAGTGAGAGAGTCTGTGCGAAGTTAATGATGTCCAGTTAACCAGTGAATACAGGGTGCAGTGGTGGGTACGATAATCACAGCCAGTTATGAATCTTAGTGCACCATGATAGACAACATCCAACAACATCCAACATATATATATATATACATACATACAACATATATATATACATACATACAACATATATATATATATATATATATGTATGTATGTATGTATGTATATATATGTATATACGTATATATATATATATATATATATATATATATATATATATATGTGTGTATATATATATGTGTGTGTGTGTTCAAACTAAATATTACAATATACTGATTGGGCGGGATTTTGTGTGATCTGGCGGTTTTTAACAGACTTTTGGGCTGGAAAACTTTGACTCTATCTGGCAACACTGGCCACCATAGTTTGGACTTTTCTTCAGCGTTGGCAGAAATGAGGTTCCATATCATACAGAGCGTAAATATGTTTGCCTTGGATTTCTGTAGATTTGCTGAAACAAAGTGAGCACGGACAACGGAGTTATTGCGTGCCCGTGTTTTGTTGGCGTTTGTGTGTGTGTGTGTAGAGGGCGCGCGCGCGCACACGCAGGAAAGGGGCGGGAGTGATGAAGGTGACTGGAAGGCTGCATCGTTACAAACGCCTGCCTGGCTGCTCTTCTCCACAGATCAACTCCCAGCAGTCCACACGCACGGCTGCTATCATGGGGACGAGCTGAACCGAACCGCAAACGGCTCGAGTCTTTACTTTAAAACAAAAACAACTGTCCGCGTGCTTCTTGTTGTTGGAAGCAACGGTTAGCTCGCGCATGAGAGAGAGCGAGAGAGAGGCAGCTAACGGTTACCTGAGTACCTGCAGTGGGGGGGTTTCAATCGACGGTTCCAGCTCCGACAGAGACCCAGCTGTGGGGCGCAGAGACCTGGACAAAGTTTCCAGAACTTCAGCGGCTATAAACGATGCGGCTGACCCAGAAAAAGCCGCTCACGTCGGCTGCCCTGCTGCTAATAGTCCTGGCGGTCCGCAGCTCGCGCAGCTGTAAGTAAACACTGACATGCTAATAATGTCGCGAGCTAGCTGGCTAACTGACATTAAAGTAGTTTTGACAGCTCGACGTGTTTTTGACGGACCTTTTGGAGGTTAGTGAACCTTTCGTCTTCCTCTTGCAGTTTTAATGTCTGCCGAAGAGGCGAACCAGTTTCTGAGCAGACACCGGAGGGCGAACCAAGTTTTCGAGGAGACGAAGCAAGGACACTTGGAGAGGGAGTGCGTGGAGGAGAGGTGCAGTAAGGAGGAGGCCAGGGAGGTGTTTGAAAACGACCCAGAAACGGTGAGTTTTTATTATTTTTGTAGCCAAGGGAGGTTGGAAAGCAGTCCTCTTCCTGACGGCTGCAGAAAAAAGGCAAACAAAGTTCAGGGACATGCTCCCAGACAGAACAAGTCATCCTCATGTTTTGTTTTTTCCTTGGCAACAACAGAATTGAGTCATTTTAACTAAGCTGTGGCTTTGAAAATGGCCGCCACAGCTAAATCAACCCTATCAAACACAAAAAAATCAATTTAACTCCGTCAATTCTAGATATTGTGCTAATATTTGCTGTGGTAGTAGCTGAGAGTCATCCCCAACTCATTCCTTGAAAGCTAACTCATCCTGCAAGACATCTAGTTTTAAAGCTTTGTCACCACAATTAAGGATGACCGCTGCACCCAATTGACCTTAGTCATTTTTTTAGACAGGAAGTGGTAGTATCTGAGAGTCATCCTCAACATATATCCTTTAAATTTTAATATTTTTTTTAAGTTTAAAATGACTACAGCACTAAACACAAGACAATCTAAGTCTATCCCTGGCATGAAAGGCGGCGGGCGATATGCATTCCTTCAAGGACCGCTAATGTCTTGTTTTTCTTGGACATTGCGTCACTAATCCATCTTCTTTTTTTTTTTTTTTGACATTTAACTGCACCTACAGTTTGTAAATGTTTACCTCAGATTATAATCCATAAGCCTCTTAATTATGCACTATGCGTGATAAATAATTTAACAAGCTCCAGAGATGAGATTTATGACGTGGAGCCACACAAGTGTATTGAAAGTTTGCATTTTTTAGATAACTAGATTTTTCACTGTAACAGCTTGATTTGTTCTTGAACTTTGAGATTGAGTGAGAACGATGCAAGCAGGTGGTATTTTGTGGCATTAGGCTGGTTAAACCGCTGACATTTAACTAAAGATGTTAGATTTAACGCCGCAAAGGAGTGACTAAATCTGGGATTCAATGACTCGGATTATTTGAAAGATTATTTAGGCTGAGAGACAATAATGTGATACAAAGCTGCAGTCTCATTTGTAGCTGCATTATTCATTCACAAGTTTCTGACTCTGCGTTTTGTGCTTCCTGCTGCAGTTTTTTGGCTCTGCAGAGACAAAGAGACAATCAGGATTTCCTGGGACTCGTCCTCTGCCTTCAACACAAACCAAGACTTTAGTTTCATAGGTTCAGAAGCTTTTCAAGGGGGTCAGATAGAGGAAAAGTCACGAGTGATAACTGTTAGGAACAAATTAAACAGCCTTGCTTTAAAACCAAACTAAACTGAACTAAAGTAACGTAACTAAACGACTGCATTTTCTGTCAAACTGAGGTGAAGAAGATGAAACTGATTCAAATTGAAACAAGTGAAACAAAACTAAATTGAGCAAAAAAAGTCTAAATTCAGCAGAACACAAGCTAAAAGCAGCAAAACTGTCCATAGCAGCTAAATTTTCATACATGTTAATTAAAATTTGTAAAATGTGTAATAAAATTAGTGAAACTGTGGCTCAAATAAGCAAAAGACAAGTTAAAATGAGTAAAAGTGATGCTGAAGTTAGTTATCATCAAACCGATAGCTAAAATAAGCAAATCTGTAGTTAAAATTGGCTAAACAGATGCTGAAACTAACAAATTGAAAATAGTTTAATCCAAGAAACTAAAACTTTGAAGAGAAAATGAATGAATGCTGACTCAGCAGGCTGTTTGTGCGTTCAGTGGTTTTATAATTTTATAATTTTTTTTACAGATTTATCTCTTTAAAGTTTGTGATTTTAACAGGAATGCAATGATTCTCAGGAAACCATGAGAGAAAGCAGAGCAGAAGACTAATTGTTTTAGTTTCTATTCAGACTGAATGCTCAGAACTCATGAGTCACCACATCTTCGAGTTGTTTGAGCACAAGAAGCAACTGAAACCAAATCTTTAACATACTCCTAAAACTGTGTTTATAATTACATTTATCCTGTTAAGACCTTTGCTTTTTTTCTGTTTCTCCATCTTGAATCCCCGCAGGACTACTTCTATCCCAAGTACATGGGTAAGTGTTCATTCCACCTTTAAGTCCTGCATCACTTCAGCCAGCCTGAATAATTACATGCTTGCCATCTCTTCATTTCAGCCTGTGTGGAGAAGTTTGGGGATTCAGAAAAGAAAAAACAGGATCTGGTCACGTGTGTCCACAGTAAGTTTTATCTCCACCTCGGCTGATGTATTTTTTGGCTCCTGTCTTTTTGTCTCATTATTTCCATGCAACTCTACATTCAGAGCGAGACTTTTTGTGGAATTGTGGTGCACTGCAGTATCACTGCTCTGCGTCACTCTCAGGCAGGCTCTCCTTGTCCAAAAGGAGTGAGATTCACCACATTTATTCATCAAATCCAGGTCACTGTTTGCAGCCCACGCAGCAAATTGATTTTGTGACTCTTTAGTCCTCAGGAGGCATTTCCTGAATAAGGCTGCAGTGATGCTGAGTGACACACCCCCTTTAGCTGTCGTGCACTCCTTGCGTGACTGCACCGGCTCCTTCGTGAGCTGGCTCTGTGAGGAGTGACGTAAAACAAACCCCCCCAAAAAAACTGTTGTAGTGAGTAGAGGGCAGGATGTTTGCTGCATCAGGATACAGGAGACCCGGCTTTACTCCTATTGGCTGTGGCGTCTCCGGAGTGGGTTTCATGACTCAGCTGCAGCATCGTGGGCACTTAAAGTCACGGCGTTGCCTTTTAACTCAGAACTGTCAGCTCCACCTCTTCCTCATCACTTTTTCTTTCTTGTCTGTTCATTTGCTGTGCTTCCGATCACTGCATTGCAGGAAAAGTGGTGAACCACAGTAGATTAACACATTCAGTTGGGTCAGCTCGATTATTTTAGGCTCCCCTGTTATGTTAGTGTTGTGTCGCACTACTAAAAGTAATTTTTTCATAGTAGTGTCTGTTAGTAAAATATTTTGTTGAACCACTGGATGGATTTTAACAAATTGGATTAAGATCCTGAAACTGATTTCCTTTTACAGTGAGACCAAATAAATGTACCCTTTTATTTATGCAGGTAGTCTCACTGAGCCACGACAACTCATTTTCAAGAGAGATCTAAATAACGTTAGCTGACATAGAAATTGTCTCTAACTTAGTCAAGTTTACGGTTGTTGGATGAAATGCATTCCTTCAAGGATCATCCATCCATCCATCCATCCATTACATGTCCGGCAATCACTGAACGAGGGGCAGGATACACCCTGGACAGGTCTCCAGTCCATCACGGGGCCACATAGAGACAAACGAGACAAACAACCATTCACTCTCTCACTCACACCTAGGGACAATTTAGAGTTACCAATCAGCCTAACGTGCATGTTTTTAGTCTGTGGGAGGAAACCCACGCATGCACAGAGAAAATATGCAAACTCCACCCAGAAAGGCCCCCGGACCGGGATTTGAACCAGGGTAACCTGCTCGCTGAGAGGCAGCAGCTCTACCAACTGCACCACTGTGCCGCCCCCTTCAAGGACCAGTAAAACTAAAATAGATGTTTAAACTATTGCTTCAAGGAATGCCTTTAATTTTTTATATAAAAACCTTAAACACGCTTTGAAATCTGCTCCCAGACCCATATATCTGCAAACAGATCATCCACAAGCAGTGTTGCCAGGTATACAATAATTATCATATTTATACCGTAGTATACAATAATTATCATATTTATACCGTAGTATACAATAATTATCATATTTATACTGTAGTGTTGGTTAATACTAGTTTTTAAAATATAAAATAAAAATACAATAGTTTTTACTAGGGGTGCCCCGATTTCTTTAATTTTGGGAAATTAGAAATCGTCCGATACTTGCACGAGAAACCGATTTTACCGGTTTTTTTTTTTTGTTTTTTTTTATAGTTTCAACAACTGTCTAAACTTCATTTATATTTCAGAGCACTACCTCATGGCCAGTTAAAACAAGTTTGTATTGTTTCTAGGATATTATTCAAGGGTATGTTTTTCAACAAAATAATATTGGCAAATTGAAGGTACGTTGTGACCTAATAACACCTGACAGTGTCGCTTATAAAACAAAATCGGAATCGGCAGGTCAGATTTTTTAGAAATCGGAGATCGGCCAGAAAACTGTGATCAGTGCACCCCTAGTTTTTACATTTCTGGTGCAGAAAAAAATTGTTTTTACTCATGCAAACACTCGCCAGAAAGTATGCATGGTGCCAAATTTGCAGGTCCCCTCCTAGGTGAATGTTTATGTATTTATTTATTTATTAACTTTTATTTAACCAGGCAAATCCCATTGAGATCATAGATCTCTTTTGCAAGGGAGACCTGGGCCTGAAGGCACCCTAACATGCATGTTTTTGTTTTGTGGGAGGAAACCAGAGTACCCGTAGAAAACACACGCAAGCACAAGAAGAACATGCAAACTCCACACAGAAAGACCCCAGGTCCCACTGGGAATTGAACCCAGGACCTTCTTGCTGTGAGGCTACAGTGCTAACCACTGAGCCGTCGTGCTGCCAACGTTTTCCACCAAATACAACACACACACCAGGCTGACCAAGAACGTGTGTGCACCCCACCTCCACTGAAAAAAGTGCACCGTCACTCTGTACATGCAATAGTTTTGGTCAAAATACGACAGTTTTAAAGCGACGGTACATTTGTTCGTCATTTCTCATCTGGCAACCCTGTCCACAAGTCACACCGTGATTTTAAATTACAGTTTATTCCCTGTATATTGTAACTACCTGAACATTATAAACTTGTACAAACTTAACACAATGTTACAACTTTGTTGGTTTTTGTGCAGAAATCTTTTAATCTGACTCAGGAAACTGAATGTTTGGGTTCAGTTCTTTAGCTGGAAGTGACACGCCTGAAATTTGCCCTTGAAAAGTGATTATCTGCGTCTGTCTGGCACATAAAATTCAGATCGAGCCTATTTACAAGTCTGCTGTTGGCCCAAACCTCCGTGTTCGTTGAAGCGGCTGATTTAAACTGAAACAGTCCCGAGATGCATTTAAAGCAGACTCGTTGAAACGTTGCTCAGCTGTGGTTCTCACATGTGAACTTGTCTCCGTCTTTCTCCTTCAGGTCCTTGTTTCTGTCATTTACTGAAATTCAGCAGACATGCCCGGACATGTTGAGAATTCAAAGCGCTCTGCTACGAGAGAAAAAGATTTTACACTCTCTTACGCAAGCTTGGGGTTAAAGACGTTTTAAAGTGGAAATGTTTATCGGATAAGAAAAGCAAACAAATGTTAAAAAAAAAAAAATAATCATTGGGTATCTGTTTGTTCTCTGGGCTTCTCCAGAAAGACAGCTTAGTCAGCTATTTATTTCAAGATGTCCTTCCTCTGGGCTGATATACGGTTACACTCAGAGCAGCGGCCTGATTTGTTCCAACTGGTTAGAAACCAGTAACAAATTAAAGGCAGAGCATTCCTTAAAGGGTAGAGTGTTTAAGATTATCTCATGGGGGTCGGAGTTGTAGGCCATTTTGGTCGAATGTTGAGATATTTTGCTAACAGACAGACAAATGTGGCGTCAACAGTTGGTGCCAAAATTTGAGTAAAAATGTTGCACAATGGATTACATGCAGAGTTGAGGATGACTATCAGCTTCTGCCTCCTGCAATGCAAAATGTTAGTTTAATATCTTTAAAATGATCTGAGTTAAAGCCTCTTTTTTTTTTGGCGTCACATCTGTGGCAGCCATTTTAAACTTGATAGACTCCAAAAGTTAATCATTTCTTCACTCTTTGCTGATAACACTTATGATTTAGATTGTTTGTTTTTTTCCATTTTAAAGATATTCCAGACCAGTGCTCTCCTTCTCCCTGTAATCCCAGAGGTACGGTGCGCTGCGAGGACAAAAAGGGCGACTTCCTCTGTCATTGCTTTACAGGCTGGACCGAAGCCACGTGTGAGAAAGGTACTGCCATCATTTGGTAATGGAGCTCAGCAGAGATTTAAAAAGAAAAGTGCAGCGTCACACCCAGTGTTTCTGCAGACATGTCACAGTTCTGACCTCGGTTCTGCCCGCTAACGCTCCAACACTGTCCACTTGTTTCACTTGTGCTTTCAGTCACTGATGTAATTTGATCCGTTCACTTTCACTCATCTTTATTTGAAAGTTATTTTTGAGCTTATGCTGCAGTTATTAATGACGTGTTTGTCGGGTCAATGCATCTGCCCAGAGGTCAAACTCATTACTGTGTTTCTGTAGGACAGAGGAAGTAAGACGAGCTTTTCTCTCATGGAAATTGAAAGTTAGATATGAATTATGACAAGCACAGTGCAGGCAGTGTGACTCACCCTTCCATTTAACTGTGAGGAACCTTTAAGCTTCTTTTCCACTCGATGACATCGCTGCTCCTCACCCCTCAGCAACAGTAACGGACTGTTTTAGTTATTCATAAAGAGCTTATCCAAGTAAAAAGCTACACAACATTTAGGGGAATTTCAACATTTAACTCCGCAAGTCCCTGTTATTTTTTATTTTTCTGGCTTCATGTTGACAGCTGTAACGTTTGTTTTCAGATGTGGACGAGTGCGTTGAGAAGAACAACGGAGGTTGTGACCACATGTGCAACAACACTGTAGGAAGCTACCACTGCTTCTGTCACGAAGGCTACGCGCTGGTCGGGCGCCACACGTGTAACGGTGAGCCGCCAACCCACAAGGTCCAACAGCGGGGGGTAAAAAACTGTCAGATGAAACTTAGCAAAACACCAGCTAAAACTAACATGGCAAAAGGTTAGCTAAAAGTAGCTAAAGTCCAAGTGTAGCAAAAGGATATCGAAAAGTCAAAAGTAGCAGAACGACAGCTAAAACTCAAAGCAGCAAAAGCCTAGCTTAATGTGTAAAAAAGTTGACTAAAAACTAAATGTAGCACAACACTAGCTAAAAGTAGCAAAAGATAACTAAAACCACTTTTACAAAATGTCAGTTAAAGACTAAATGTAGTTGAATAGTAGGTAAAACCGGTGTAGCTAAAGTCTAAGTTATCAAAAGGCTAGCTAAAAGTAGCAAAAGGTTAGCTGAAAGCTAGAAGTAGCAGAATGGCAGCTAAAATCTAAAGGTAATAAGAAGAGAGCCAGCAGCTGAAGCGGGTTTCAGAAAGAACTAAGATATGAAGCAAGTGAAGAGATCTGAGTGCAAGTCTGGTAAAATATTTATAAATAAAGTTAAATATTTTGAAAAGTATAAAAGTTGCAACAAACTAAAGTCCCTGCACCCATCTCCTGAATGAGCCGAATGTTTTTTAAATGTGAAGGGCTAAAATAAAAGTATGCAGAAGTAGTTTGTTTGGACAAAACATACTGAAAAATAAAAACAGGAAAAGAATTGTGAACTTTGGTTTAATTTACCGTAATTGATTTAAGGATTAAGAGATCAACTTTTGTAAAAAGTTTTTCCTTTTATACGCGAATCTAAACAAGTTCAAATGTTTTTTATGTTTTTGTTTTCCCCACCTTTTGAGATATTGTTGAGAAATAAACTTTATTAAAATGTGTTTAATCTGTAATTACAGATCAATTATTGATTACTGAACATTTTTGCTTTTGTAGATATCAACGAGTGTGAGGATCCGAGCGTGTGTGGATCGGCCCGATGTGAGAATAATGTGGGAGGCTTTGATTGTCTGTGTGATCAAGGATACGTCTTCGACAACGAAAGCAACAGCTGTGTTGGTGCGTATGTGAAACACCCCCCCAACACTCACACACACAGTCAGATAAACGGTTTTAGCCTCAGCAGGGCCTGAAGTGGATCCATGTTGGGGGGCCCGGAAAAGAAACCAAATAAATCTAGGGAACTTCTGCAGAAGTAGGTAAGAGGTCGGGTTCAGTGTAGAAAAAGTTAATTTATATAAAGACAAAACACAAAGGTATGGTTTTTGAAAATCCATCAAATCAGCCAAAATGACCAAACCACTATTTACATATTTTATGATCTGAGAAACTTCAAATAAAATGTTTTAATTTAACTTCATGTGATACCTGTTTATCCTTGAAGCTTATCTTCTACAAGTCCTGAAGATAAACTGTTTTTATCTAAAAGACTCCTCCAAAAAGTTTGTAAGATTTCTGAGTAAAAATGTTTAAGAAGCTACCCTAAACTAGTAAAGTAAAAATAAGTGGAATAGAACTCAAATGAGCTAAATAGTAGCAAAATGCTAAATTTGCTAAACTTTAGCTCTAAGATGAAATCAGCAAAACCCCACTTGAAAGATAAAGTTGGTAAAATTAGGAAGAAAGTTGCTCAAATCTAAAACTACCAAACTGTTTCCAAAAATTTAAATTTTCAAAACTCTACCTAAAAGCTAAAATTTGTAAAACAGTAACTAAAAGCTAACGTTGCTAAACTGTAATTAAAATCTTAAACTAACAAAACTACCTGAAGGAATTATTTGGAAAAATAAGCTAAAAGCTCAACTGTATGTTTAAAAAAAAAAAAGTGTCTAAAAGCTATAATTAACAAAACGGCAGTAAAACGGAGCCTAAAAGCAAATATTGTAAAACTGTAGCTTAAAGCTACAAATCAGGACCACCCATCATTTCAGCTCTGTGGTGGGAACCAGACGTTTCCTAACCTCTGTGTTCCCCTTCAGAATAAAATAATACCGTGTCCAATCTTCATGTCCATTTAAGGTTGTCCTTGGGGACGAGTTGCTCAGCCGACGTCAGCAACCTCTTCACTCAAGAGTTGTTTGCATTCCTCAAATCTGTTAAAAATAAATCTTTTTTTTAAACTCAGGAACGTTTTGATTTGATAAATCTGATCCTTCACACCGTCCACATTCCTCCAAGCTGCTGTCTCTGTCTCCCTCTCAGACGTAGACGAATGTGAGACGGGTGTTTGTGAAGATGAGTGTCTGAACACTCCGGGGAGTTTCCGTTGTTTCTGCGACGGTCGTCGGGGGCTGAAGCTGAGAGAGGACCTGAGGAGCTGTAAGGTGCTGAACTCCAGCTGTTGTTTGTTAAGCAGACAAAACTTTAAAAGTTTTGAAACTAATTCTCTTCATCTGCTGGCAGTTCTGAGACTGAAATCTCTTTCTGTTTGTTCCGCAGCCTATAACTGCCTGCATGTCGCCACCCCTGAAGAGGAACCCCCGCTCTCTTTTTCTGGGTCGCATGTTCAGCGCCGCGCCGGTGGTGCGCCTGCGTTTTCGCCGCAGGGTTCACACGGGGTGAGGAAAATGAAAGTGTCAGTAAAGTGATACAAAGTGCCAACTTTTTATCTCTTCCCCTCATTTTTGTTTTTGTTTTAACTCTTTCAAACATTCCTCTGCTCTTTTAGCTTCTCAGCAGAATTCGACTTCCGCACCTACGATCAGGAGGGAGTGATCTTCTTCGCAGGGGGTCACCTGGACAGCTCCTGGATCGTGCTGGCAATGCATCATGGGAAGCTGGAGCTGCAGCTGAAGTACGGCACAGTGAGCAGAGTCACCAGCAGCGGGCCTGTCGTCAGCGACGGCCAGTGGAGGAAGGTTGGAGGGATTCTGTCCAGTTTTCAAAAGTAGTTTATGTCTAAAAGTCTGGCTAAAATCTTCAATAATTTTTTTCTTCAGATCTCGGTGGAAGAGCAAGGTCGGAGTCTGGTGATAAAGATCGACAGGGAGGCTGTCATGAAGATTGCCGTGAACGGCGATTTGTTCACGCTGAAGAAAGGCATGCACGAGCTCAACCTCACCGTGGGAGGAGTCCCTTTCAGAGAGGATGGCCTCGTCAATCAGGTGTTTATTTGTATGTGATTGTTTCATTTCCTGCACTAAACTTAGACGCTCCTCAAAAAGAAGAAAAAAAAATCTCTGAGCCATCTTAACTTTTAAACCATTACACAGATAAACCCTCGTCTGGACGGCTGCATGAAGGAGTGGCGCTGGCTGTCGGGTGAAGACAACTCGATACAAGAAACCATTCGGTCCAACGACAACATGCAGTGCTTCAGCTCCGAGGATCCTGGAGCTTTTTACTCCGGAACCGGCTTTGCTCTCTTCAACATCACCTATGGTACGCAGTCTTTAAAAAGCTGCAATGGGATGAAAAAAAATTACTGTTTCAAGATTTAATCCTCATTTTATTATCTAAAACGGGTCGTCAAACTTTTTGGGTTCAGGGACCCCTTACAGGGGAGAAAAAGTTTCAGGGACCCCCTCGTAACCCTCATGTTTATTAAATAATGTTCTTCAATTTGTCTCTTTAATGCAATGGAAATACTTGTGTAACATAAATACTTAAGATCTGTTCTTTAATAATGTTAATACAATTTTTATACTTTTAAACATGGGGTAGTTTTCACTCAAGACACAATTAAATTTTTAATTTCTACTTCTAAAAATTAGTTTTGAGAAAATTAACAGGATCATAAACCATTTTAAAACTTTATCTGTTCACTTAATGAACAAACAATGTATTGCCACTTCTTCACAACTATTACGTAAACGCAACAGGATCATAACATCCATAGTCGTACCAAGTAACAGGGCTCAATTTATAAACCAATTGATGCCAGAAAACAAGTAGCAGGGGGGGTCTGGGGTTCCTCCCCTAGAAAATTTGAATAAAGTAGATGTGATTTCCTGCATTTTTGTGTATTTTACTGGGTTAATAAACATTTACATGCTTGTAAAAAATAAAAAATATATAATTTTTTTTGTGGACCCCCCCCCCCCCCCCCCCCCCCCGGTTCTGGGGACCCCAGTTTGAGAACCACTGATCCAAACGGCTACTTCCAAGTTCAGCATGCTAAACGGCGGCTAAGATTAAAAACACGTCAGTGGGATCTAACACCAATGTAAACTAAACACAGATAGTCTGCCAAGTTAGACAAACCCTAAAGCATTCTGTACTTTTTATTTTATTCTTCATGTTCGATGTTGGTAACAAGTTTTTACAAGATCAAATTTGGAATCGAGAATAAAATCCATCAAAACTTTATGTAAATATACAAGCAATGTACCTAAAACTGGACTGAACCTGTCAAACATGTAACATCTCTGTTCTTCTTCCTCAGAACCAAAGAACCTGAGCGTCCAGGTGACCTTACGGCCCGTTTCTGCCATCGGGGTCCTGTTTGCACTCGTTTACCAGGACGGAGTGCCTCTCTCCATCGCTCTCTCCGACTACAACCCCAGCACAGACGAGTGGAGAGACGTGAGTACATCTTAGCGTTTGTATAAACTTTATTTTTCCATGCTCAAACCGACCTTCTGATTGTCTTCAGGCTCTTCTGGTTTCTGTGGGTAACGTTGTTGCTGCCAGCTTTCCTGCGCCTTTTTGTGACGGTAAGAGCCATGAGGTCCAGGTGACCGTCTCAGGCAACCAGATCCTTCTACTGGTCGATGGCCAGTTTGGACGAAGTGAAAACACAGAAGTTCCTACTGAGCTCTTCTCACAGTCCTCCACGTATATAGGAGGCCTTCCAGGTGAGGACAGACATTTTCACGCTTACTTTTTCACTGAATAGTTGTAATTTGTGTGTGTGTGTGTGTCCCTGATTATATTACCCTTTTAGCACCTTGTTTTAAATCCCTTCCTTGTTAGGAGTCCTTACGGGGGACCAAAGCCTGGTCCTAATATGGTGGACTCTCTTTTGGGTCGTATTTAGAGCTATGATGTGAATTGAGTTTAATAAGCAAAGAAATAACCAACTTTTGTTATGTTTGTCTGTCTGTTAGCAAAATATTCTATGACCCACTGGAGGGATTTTGATAACTCTCACTGGATGCTTGTCAACAACAGATTTCCTTGTGGACTCAAGCTTATTAAAAATGGCTGCTACAGTTAATCGACCTCACCAAACACAAAATTGCTGGAACACAGTCACTGTTACAGACACTGAGCTAAAGTTTAGCGTGGTAGGAGCCGAGAGTCATTCCTGTCTTATTCTGAGCTCAGGCAAGAGATCTTTGTTTAAATCTTTGGCATGCCAGGCTGCAGGTGAGATGCAATTAGAATGCTACTTGTGTTTGTTTTTCTAAATAATAACCAGCTTTTTTTATAATAACTAGCATGTTTGACGATAAATTTACTAGTTTATTGTTTAATGAGAAGTTTGTGAAGCAAAAAGGTTGATATCCAGATTTTTCATCAGAGCAGCATACTGTCCCAAGCACCACATTCAACAGAGTAAAAACTGTGTATACTCCGTCAGAACCAGCCGAGTTGTCTGCTGACTCGCATGTTGTCATTTTTTCCCCTCAGATGTTTCCCTGGTGTCCACGCTCGTGTCGGCGCCCTACAGCGGCTGCTTGGAGGTCAGTGTGAACGGAAAGCCTCTGGATCTGGACAAGGCGGACCACAAACACAACGACATTCGGTCCCACTCCTGCCCCCTGCTGGCCTCTTACCACTGACCGGTCCAGATCTTTGAGGCAGGGGGGATGATGTCCACTAAATTCCTTAAAGCTCTGACTGGTGGGGAGATTTCAATATAATCTTTAAAAAAAAACAGTCTGGTGCAGCAGAATCACCTCCCTCTTTCCTGATACTGTGACGAGATCCGGTCCAGCCCAGAGGTGTCTGCTTCGATGTTCACAGTTTTTACTCGGTGTTAGCAGACATGGCAATATACGTCACATAGCATTGCTTCAAACTGCCCTCCAGAACTCACAGGGTCTTATCTGATTTAGTGTTAGTCGGTTTTGGGTCATTGTCTGTGGTCATGTTGCTTAACTCCAGTTCGCCTCATGTTCACAAAGCTTTGAACAAAGCAAGCACTGACGCAGAGACGAAAACAAAAAACATGAACCACATAAATGGTTTTAAACCAGCTGCTAAGCTCAGAGACCTGTACCGACAGGTGTGTTCGGTGCATTCAGCGTGGACCTGAATCTTTTTTTACCCCATCCAGAGCTGCAGCTTCGAGGCCCAACTCTGTTTCAAAAACAAATTGCACATCGTTGCAGGCATAAATGGACTGCGGCGTAAAGCCATTTTATGATTTCCTCTGGATCGGTGAAGCACTCCATGTCTGACTGCAACCTTAAATATCAACCATGTGCCTAGAAACAAAAACCCAACTCAGACCTGTCAACAGCTTCCCTCTAAAGGTGCCGTCTCACTGGGCCGAGACTAGATGGCAACGTGGAGTCACAAGAAAATATGCAATTTCCCCAATTCCACTGGAATCTGAGCGTTTGCAACCAACAAACGGTGCAGCCGCATTCTGGGCTGCTCGTCGTTAAGAGTTCAAACCAGAGCGATGAAATTAAAACCATTTCGAGACATTCTTGAGACTCCCTCTTTAATCTTGTTCACCAACTGGCCGCTGCCCCGAGAGATCAACAGAAACACAAACGTCCCGTCTCTGTGGATGTTTCATATCCTCGATCTTTACTCACCAACTCTGACACAAAGACCCCTTCGTTCCTTCAGTCGCTCTGTTGGAGCCGCCATAACGCCAGGAAGGGACCGTCTCCACAACAGATGGACGGAGCACTGCATTACCCTCACAACGCGAGCTACTGAGATTAGAGTGCGCTGTAATATACTGTGTGTAAATAATGTGACCGTACAACGCTTTAGACAAGGTAGGAAGGTTCTTTACAACCAAATCAAGTCTCAGCTTCTGTGTTAGGAGAGTTATCCTGAAGCAGAGAGAGAGCAACAAGATCGTTCTGTAGGAACGAGGTTTAATTTACCGGTGCTGAAATCAAAACTCCACGAATGTCTGACTTAGAACGCCTGAAGGGCTCCAGTGTTTTACGTTCCTGTATAATAAATCATTTTATAGTTGAATGAATGAGCTTGACTTGTTATTGTTTATTACTGTTGTTATTATTATTATGAGTTGTATCTTTTCCTTTATTGTTTATTTTTTCACTTTAAACTGCCAGGATGTGCACAACGGGAGAGTCTGCTTTTTGAGTTTTTACTTCTACTGTAAAAATAAAAATCTATTTAAAATAAAATCAGCTGAATGAACATCATGGAGTATTTTATTTTACAAACATTTTCACTGTCTTCGGAACTTTTTTTTTTTTTTTCTCTTTTTCTGTTTTTTTCCACAAAGTTTTCTCTGGAAAGAAACGTCACGTTAATCTGACGGATTACGGATTTAATCCTCTCAGCTGTTGTAGATGTGGAGATTAGCAGATTGAAGGTTGAACTTTATCAGAAAAAACATCTGAGAGTGTGCTGAAGCTGGTCGTTCAGTCAAATGCTTGGATTCACCTCAGAAACCTTCACCAACATCAGAAACTAAAAACGTTTGGAGAAAATGTCGACCGTAAACAAGTAAAATCGGGATTATTGACGATAAATGGTGAAAGTAAAGGGGGGGGGGGGTGAACACCTGCTGAAAACTGTTGAAGCTGAAACCTTTAAACAGCTAAAATAAAGCAAACCAAATGCTGGAATTAGCAATACAGTAGCTAAAAGATTAAAGCAGTAGCTAAAAGCAAAGATCTGTAAAACTGCTGCTGTAGAATATAAAAGTAGCAAAACTAGCAACTGTTTTTCTTTCGGCTGCTCGTTTCTGCAGGTTCACCACAAAACTCGCATGAAAGAAGTGATTGTTTTAGCCTGATACTCTTGACACAGCCAGGGGCTTGAACTCGCAACCTCAGGATTACAAAACCGCAGCATGGACCACTGCAGCTATTGTAAAAGCGGAAATTAGCAAAACAGTAGCTAAAGGCTAAAAAAAGATTTTTTTTTTTTTTTTAAAGCAGAGTTGTCCTTAAATTTAAAGATCAAATCATTTAAAATGAAGATTAAATTGTAAAAAAAAAAAAAAAAAGTTATGCAAAGAAAAGTCCAAGCGGTAATGTCCTAAAACAGCTGAACGTTTTAATTTACAAAAGGGTAAAACAGCTGAAAGTCTGCTAAAGGGCCCCAAAAAATGTCAGGAAGAAACTTGAATGGTGACTCGGCATTTAATCAAATGAGATTAAAACCTCAAGCTGCCGTCAGACACTTGAGAATAACAGCTAAAACACTTGAGACATTCCGCCTGCTGCCCTTGGGTCAAAATGACCCGCGAGACCCTTTAAAATGGACCTTAAGGCTCTTTTTGACCCAAGGGCCACAGGAGGGGCGGTCAAAAACTTTAGCTCAAATGAAAGGACTCTTGAGCCGATCAGAACCATTTTATTGCTTTTAGATTAGATAAAGTTGTGAAACGACACAGTGGTGATACCGAAGCAACAGTTTTTTTCACGCGACTCAGAAAACGAGCAAATCATTGCATTTTCTAAAAGTTGTGAACTCTTCCTGTAGATCAACATTATGTTCAAGCCCTTATGTACAGGTTAAAGTTGAAATCAGTTGAATTTATTAGCAGCAGCTACAGAATCCCAGCAATGAACACACGTCAATAATACAATCAATTTAAAGTGCACATTAAATAATAAATAAAAGCAGCGTCCATTCTCCGGAGCCCTTTGATTTTTTTACAAACCGTCCTACAACCTCAAAGACGTCACCTTTAAATGCTAAAGAAATGGTCCTTTTAGAGATTTAGTGTTTAATTTTAAAGATACAAAACTAGTTCTAACATTTTTAACATATGTATATTTTAATAACCTTTAAGTGTTTGTAAAAAGCCAGTGATGTTGAGTTTTGGTTCTGGGGGGGTCCACTTCCTGCATTAGATGCTTCAGCCCTCCTGATGTTGAAATGTCTGACGCCAAGATCTAACTCGAGACGGGACAGGAAACGAGAAGTTGAAGATACAGGTGCTCCCTGGTGGCCTGCTCCCGTATAATGTGATCATCTCTCCAGACTTTTAAAATAGTCTTTGGTGTGTGGCTGTAAGTTTAGACAACAAAACAAGGGGATGAACACGTTTCCGATGTTAACACTGGAAATAATTTATGGAAAAGCCCAATCTGTGACCGGTTAAAACCCACGAGACAAAAAGATATAGAGTTGGTTGTTTTTTTCTCCACACAAGTCTTTTGTTTCACTGTGTGTGTGTGTGTGTGTGTGTGTGTGTGCGCGCGCGCTCAGCAGGCGTATGGTGGAGGTTTCTCAAAGGCACCGAATGCGGATCCGTAGAGGGCAGGAGCATTGGGGGTCAGTCCGTAGACTCCCGGGTCCTGGGTGGTCCCCTGAGGCTGTGGCTGAGTGGGAACCTGAGCGGGCTGCTGGTTCTGGTTCTCCTCAGAGGAGCCGGAGCCGCCTTCGGGGATCACCTGGGAAGCTGCTGGTGGCTGGTAGCTGTTGGTGTGCTGTGGAGGAAAAAACTCATCAAAGTCACATAAATAACCTGTTTTTACAGGTTTATGAGTATTATTTATTAATTAAATGGTTTTGGTGGTTTGTTTTGATCCACCTACCTGCATTGGTATGGGGTAGTTTGGGTAGGCGGGCAGAGTTGGACCCACAGGACAGAACCCGGAGTAGCTAATCATGTGCTGGGTCGGGTTGTAAAGGATGTGGGGCTGCGGCGCCGGACTGGAAACCACCGGTGGAGACGGTTTCCGCTACAGGAGAGAGCCGGACATTGGTTTTTATCAATTCATTGTGAAAAAATGATTAAAGGTAGCTAAAACAACAAAAACAGCAGCTAAGGCTAACGTAAACAAATGGCTAAATACTACATAGCAAAACAGCAGCTAAAAGCAAACATGAATAAAACCATATAGAAAAGCTAAAATTAGAAAGAGAACCAGAAAGAAACAAACAGGTGCACAAGTAGAGCTAAAATATGCACAACAGTAGCTAAAAACTGAAAGTAGCTCAATTGTTGCTAAAAAGGTAAAATATGAAATAATCTGCTAAAAGCTAAAATTAGCAAGATAATATTTTTGCACTGAAAGGAGCAAAATTGGAGCTGAAAGCTACGATTAACAAAACAAGAACTAAAAACTGAATGTAAAAAGTAAAACTGCCAAGACGGTAGCTAAAATTAAGAAGCAAGAATTTAGCTAAAACCTAAATTTTATCAATACAATAGCTAAAAGTCAAAAGTAGAAGACATATACAGTACCTAAAGACTGAAAGCACCAAAACCCTAGCTTAAAGCTACAAATATAACAGAAGCTAAAATGAGCAACACCATAACGAATAGCTTAATGCAGCAAAATCCCAGCTAAGAACTATAAGGAGTAAAAGAGTAGCTGTACTGCAAAAACAGCACTACTTGAAATAAGGTAAATATTTGTAAACATGAACAAATTTTGTTATTTTGAAAAAAATAAAAATCTGACAATGGGGTAAGCAAAATTTGCTTGGCTAGAATTCTTAAAACTAGCAAAGCTGTAGCAAAATGTTTTGATTAGCATGACAGTAGCTAAAATAACCAGAATTATTGTTAAAAACATTCTCTGTGGTTACCTAAACATCAGCAGGGGAAACAACGAGCACTTATTCACTCAAGACTTCCTTTCTTTCTCTTTCGAAGTCCATTTTTACCACAAAAATCAGATTTTTAAACATTTTAACATTTGAACTCCTGCTCACCACGTCCTTGTACGCTCCGAGGATGGCGGCGTCGATGATGCCCATGAACAGGCCGATCACGTTCAGCACCACGGAGGCCCAGAGCAGCCGGTACAGGTGGATCACATCCCAGCAGCTGTTGACCCCAGTGAACTGGTAGTAGTAAGGGTGGTACTCAGTGCTGGAGGAAGAAGGAGGAAGACTTTCTGACATGGAAAAGCCTTTCTGTTTATTTCAGTTCTGAGAAAGTACATTTCCTTCAACTGTTACGCTGATGACGCCTGAATATTTTTCTTTTAAATCTCCGCCCCTCAGCAGCCTCCATTTAACTGGCCCTAAATAAAAACAAGAAGAAATTGTTGTTTTTGGAAATTACTGGGTATATCATTATTAGTGTCCACAGTTGTCCAAACCTGTTTTTATTTTTTATTTTTATTCCAAAGCAAACTTTTACATCGTCCACCTTCATCACCTCGTGATTGGACAACTAAAACTCTATATTTCAGCATCGAACAATCGTCTTTTCATCGCAATTAGTCAAAAACTCTAAAGTCACACCCACACATGTCTACTTCCTCAGGCGGCTGAGGCGAGCTGCTCTGGGAATCTCAGTCCTCACCTCCTACAGGTGTGCAGTGGAGAGCATCCTGTGCTCCAGCATCAACGTGTGGCATGGAGGCTGCACAGCTGCAGAAAGAAAAGCTTTGCAGAGAGTGGTGAAGGCTGCACAGAAGATGTTGGTCAGCCTCCCCACCATCACAGACATCTACACTTCCAGATGCAGGAAGAGGGCCACCTGCATCATGAAAGACCCCACTCACCCAGCACACACTTTTTGTCCCGCTCCCTTCAGGCAGAAGGCTGAGGAGCATTAATTGTAGAACCACTAGACAGAATCACTGTAATTCCACTTTTATTGGTGATATGTGCTGCTGATTATCCATGCTGCTGCTCTCATGCTGCTGATTATGTCATGCTGCTGTATTCATTTATACACATCTACGCACACAGACTCATGTTCGTGCTCCTGCTGCTCAGCATATTGTTTTGCACTATTAGTGTTTAGTGTATATCTTAGTTTCTATCTTAGATCCTTATTTACTGTTTCTTTTTACACTTTATATTTTTGCTATTGTTGAATGTAACTGGGACCCTGTGTACACAGTTTTGTTCCACCTCATGTACCACGTGATGAAATGACAGTAAAACCAACTTGAACATCTTTCCATTTCTTTCTGTTTTATTGTTAGGATATTTTTTTATTTTAAAGTATTAAATGGCTTAGCAACTGGTTATTTACCTAAACTTCTTGACTTTTGCAACTCCAGAGGAGCACTGAGATCACCCGCACAGATGATTAGATCGAAGCCGAAGGCTAAGTTAAAGCACAGAGATTGAGATCCCAGATTTTAATACAAGCATCCCCTAAATATTTGTTCTGCAGTTTTTAAATCCCTGAAAACTCATTTTTCACTCTGGCTTTTAATTTGAGCTCAGTTTGTGTCTCATCAGACATTTTTTGTTGTGTTTTATAGTTTTAGCCACAGCTCATTAATGTTAGCCAACAAAAAACAACTTTAACTCAGTTAATTTTAAAAATGTGCTAAAAATTACTAGCTGAGAGTGTTCCAACTCTACCATTACCAGTTGGATTCAATCCTGTCTGTTAGCAAAATATTTCATGAAGCACTGGATGGATTCCTGTGGGCGCCAGGGCTGCCCATTGTCACAGATTCTGTTTAAAACGTTTATGGACAGAATTTCTTAGTGCAGCCGGGAGGTGGATGGTTTCCGGTTCAGTGGCCTCAGGATTCCATCTCTGCTCTTTGCAGATGATGTGGTCCTGTTGGCGTCATCGTGCCGTGATCTTCCGCTCATACTGGAGCAGCTCGCAGCTGAGTGTGAAGCGGCTGGGATGAGAATCAGCACCTCCAAATCCGAGGCCATGGTCCTCAGTCAGAAAAGGGAGGATTGCTCTCTTCAGGTCGAGGGTGAGGTTCTGCCTCAAGTGGAGGAGTTCAAGTATCGAGGTTTTGTTCACGAGTGAGAGAAGAATGTAGCGTGAGATTGAGAGAGATTGGTGCAGCATCTGCACTATTGAGGACTCTGTGCCGGTCCGTTGTGGTGAAGAGAGAGCTGAGCTACGTAAGCTCTCTGTTTACCGGTCGGTCTACGTTCCTACCCTCACTTATGATTATGAACTCTGGGTAGTGAGTGAAAGAATGAGATCGTGGATACAGGCGGTTGAAATGAGTTTCCTCTGCAGGGTAGCTGGACTCTCCCTTAGATATAGGATGAGAAGTTCATCCAGATCCATGTCCAGAGGACCAGATTGAACTTTTTTGGATGAGAAGTTCAGTTATCCTGGAGAGACTCAGAGTAGAACCGCTGCCCTTCCACATCAAGAGGAGCCAGTTGAGGTGGTTCAAGCATCTGGTAAGGATGTTTCCTGGGCTTCGGGCATGTCCAACAGGAAGGAGACCCTGGGGAAGACCCAGGACACGCTGGAGAGACTATGTCTCAGTTGGCTTGGGAACACCTTGAGGTCCTCCCAGAAGAGCTGGAAGAGGTGGCTGTGGAAAGAGATGTCTGGGCCTCCCTGCTCAAGCTGCTGCCTCTGAGACCCGACTTTGGAATAAGCGGAAGATGATGTATGTATGTATGTATGTATGTATGGATGGATGGATTCTCATGAAACTCTCACTGGATGTACATCTACAACCCATCAACTTTTGGAATCAACCCAATTCAACATGGTTGGCATAGCTAATTAATGTTAGCAGATGCAAAAATGGCTACATCTCAGGCAGTTTTACTGATACTGAGCTAAAGTTTAGCATGGTAGTAGCTGAAAGTCATACAAAACACATGCTCTGAGCTTAAACTGATCAGCATCCTTGTGTCCAAATGTCTCACCTCTCACAGTTGTACAGGTAGCAGCAGTAGCAGGTGTTGCGCTTCATGTTCAGCTTGCAGGCTTTGTTGTAAGAGTTGCACGTCACCTGGAGTTCAGATGAACAGATTGGAAAGATGCATTCATAAACCACCCAAATTTTCTTTAATATTTAATGTAGTTTGTTGAAAATAATAAATAAAAACAATAAAATGCAGCTGTGCTTTGGATTCAATGGGCTTCCAGTGGCAGTTGTTGGCCACTTGATGCCGCTGCATGCTTCGTTAAAATGCTTCAAGAGCCTGAAACACCTTATTTAAAACTTAAACATTCCAATTAAGAGTGCGCAGAGGACACAAAAGAGTCAGAATCACCTCAGTGAAGTAGCTGTTATATGCATATCCTGCTCCACTGCTGTAAAAGTCACACATGTCCTCCTCCACAGGCCGTATGTCCTAAAAATGTAAAAAGACTTAATGAAATAAGTCACATACAGTACACACTTCATGCTGCATCAGGATGTAAACATTTCCCCATGTTTATTTTCTTTTATGGAAGAGTTTTGCATCGCCTGATTCTTCACTGCACAATCTGCAGCGCTGAGGGTAATCAAATAATGTTCTCTGTCCACAGACTGAACGTGCATTAAAGAGGGTTACATATATCTGCAGAGAGGAGATAATAAAGCTGATCGATATCAGAAACTCTCATTAGGGGCTGGAGTTTCATACTTGAGTAATGTGCAGCAGAGATACTTCAGTAATCACGTTAAACCATTAACATTTTATTTTATATACTTTTAAACAGAATAATGTTGTTCAATGCTAGTCAAAAATATAACGGTAAAATCTAAAGATTGTGTCTTTCCTGAATCTCATTCAATTAACATTTTTATATTCGATTTTTTCGTTTTTGTCACTTTTAGCTGAATTTTCTATTTGTTTTTAATCATTATTAAGCTATAGTTCTGTTACTTTTAGCTTTCAGATAGATTTTTGATACTTTTAGCTAATTTTTGCTACTTAGCTTTTGCTATTTTCAGCATATACTTTTAGCCATCCTTTTGCTAATTTCATGTCATGTAACCGGTTTGTATGTTATTATAATTTCACAAAATGTCTTGTTATTCTATGCAGAGGCGGCTGTGGCTGAGTGGTTAGAGCAGTCGTCCTCCAGTGGGAGAGTTGGGGGTTCAATTCCACCAGCAGTCACATGCTGTAGTGTCCCTGGGCAAGACACTGAATCCCTCATTGTGTTGTAAAGGGCTTTGAGTATCTTGATGAGACAGAAAGGCAATATATATATATATATATATATATATATATATATATATATATATAT